AAACAATATAAGCGAAGCACCATGGGGAAAGGACTCCAAGAGGGGTGGGAAATCTTGAAAAAGAAGATTCTCCAAGCACAATTATGAGCAATTTCACCAAGAAAAAGGTGTAGGAGACAGCAGAGGAAGCCCATGTGGCCCCACAAAAAGTTAAGTGACAGCCTGAAAGAAAAAAAGAACCTTTACAGGAAGTGGAGGCAGGGCCAGGCCATGAAAGAATATAAACAAATAGCAGGGAATTGCAGGAATAGCAGCAGGAAGTCTAAAGCAGGAAATGAACTGGGAATAGCAAGGGATGTTAAGAACAACAAGAAAGCCTTCTTCAGATAGATCCAGAACAGAAAAGACATGAAAAACAGAAGGGTGTCCCACTACTTAAAGTGGATGGCAGAGTGACAGATGACAAGGAAAAGGCAGAGGCGCTCAATTCCTACTTAGTCTTCTCCCACAAGGAAATCTACAGCCACGAGGAACTATAAGCTGTGAGAGATGGCAGCCCAAGATGGACAAACAAATGGTCAAGGAATAAGCACTTTCAAATCTCCAGGGCCCAATCAACTCCATCCCAGAGTCACAAAAGAGCTAGCAGAGGAACTCTCAGAGCCACTGGCTATTATCTTGGGTAAATCTTAGAAAAAGGAGAAGTGCCAGATGCCTGGAGAAGGGCTAATGTTGTCCCTATCTTCAAAAAGGGGAAAAAGATGAATCTGGGAGCCATAGACCAGTTCGTTTGTCATCAATCCCTGGAAAAATTCTAGAGCAAATTATTAAAAATCCATCGGCAAGCATCTCGCAGAAAATGCAGTGATTAAGAGAAGCCAGCATGGATTTATCAAAAATAAATCCGATCAGACTAATTGAATCTAATCTTTTGACTGGGTAACCTCTCAAATGGACAAAGGGAACACTGTGGATATAATCTACCTAGACTTTAGCAAAGCTTTCAGCATAGTACCACATGACACTCTGATAAGCAAATTAGCAAAAACTGGACTAGATTGAAAAAACATTAGGTGGATCCAAAATTGGCTGCTAAATTGGACCCAAAGAGTGCTCATCAATGGCACCTTCTCAAATTGGATGGCGGTAACTAGTGGGGTGCCACAGATTTCAGTCCTGGGCCCAGTGGTCTCCAACATCTGTATTAATGATGAAGTACAAGGAAAGATAATCAAATCTGCAGATGATACAAAACTGGGTGGAATAGCAAGCACCCTAGAAGACAGAACGAAGATCCAGGGCGATCCCTATAAACTCGAACACTGGGCTGAAAGCAACAGAATGAGATTCAATAAGGACAAGTGCCAAGTCCTCCACGTGGGAAAAAGAAACCAAATGCATTGATACACGATGGGAAACGCACAGCTCGACAGAACTGAAAAAGATCTCTGAGTAATTGTGGACAAAAGGATAAACATGAGCCTACAATGCAATGCAGCCACCAAAAGGGCAAATGCTATTTTGGGATGCATTAACAGAAGTATTACTTCCAAATCACGAGAAGTAGTAGTTCCTCTAAACTCCTCACTAGTCAGACCTCACCTGGAATACTGTGTCCAGTTCTGGGCACCAGGATTTAAGAAAAATGCAGGTAAATTAGAAAGGGTCCAGCCGAGGACAACAAAAATGTTTCAGGGTTTGGAAATACCGCCAAGTGAGGAGAGCCTGAGAGAATTGGGCACGCTCAGCCTTGGGAAGAGAAGGCTGAAGGGGGACGTGGTATCCCTCTAGAAGTACCTCAAAGGCTGTCACAAAGGGGAAGGTCAAGATCTCTTCTGGCCAATACCAGAGTGTAGCACAGGGAATAATCAGCTCAACCGGTGACAATCCAGGTTCAGGCTAGATACCAGGAAAGGCTTCCTCACTGTCAGAGCAATATGACAGTGGAACCAGCTGCCTGGAGAGGTGGGGGGCTCTCCCACAGTGGAGACATTCAAAGGGAAACTGGACGGCCATCTGAGTGGGATGGTGTAACGTGGTGTCCTGCAACAGCAGGGGGTTGGACCCGATGGCCTTCATGGCCCCTTCCAACTCGACTATCCTATGATTTTAATATTCTCTGAGGCTGAGAACTATGCTCCCTCTGTGAACACAAAGTCCCTGGGGAAGAGTCCCGGGCAACCCACGCCACAACCAGGGGACATCACCCTCCACGCATCCCCCACTGGCACCGTCAGTGGATGCGTGCGGCTGTATAAGCCTCAGGGGCTGTCCCCTCTGCTTCCTCCTGGGCCTCTCTGGCCCAGCCTCCCTTCTCTCCACTCCTCCACCCGAGCGCCTGCCTTGCCTTCGCAAGCTCCCAGCCGCCCTCTCCGCCCCCCCCCCCGGCCTCTGCTCCGATCCAAAAGGATTCCTGTCCTCAGACCCCGGCTGCTGCCTCTGGGCCCCCCTCAGTGCTGGCTTCCGTGTCCCCCTGCCCCAGAGTTAGCACACTAGCACAGAAGTCACAGGGCACAGTTATGGGATCTCTGTTTCCCCAGAACCCTGCTTCCCTGTCCCCTTGGTTTTTCACTTGCTAGTTTTCCATAGTCATTCCCGCATTTCCCCTACACACTGGACTTCTGAAGTGGCAATAAAGTGGGTGACTTCCAAGAAAGTCCAGCACAGTAGCATCTTTCTTTCTTTTTTCATTTGCTCTATGCAGTTCATTTGGTAAAGAGGCAGATTTTCATATAATAGCACTTTAAAGGATTTTCGAAAAATGGGTTGGACTAAGCGGTATAGTGGAAATCTTCAGATATTGTAGTCAGTCAGTCAATCAGGCTGCAGTGGCAGAAGTGAAGGAGAGCTAAGTAACTATTTAACCTGCCTATTGAAATGTTTTCTATGTCATAGCTATTCCATGTAATGCTTCAGTAGTACTCCCAATACTGTTTTCTTATAGGCCACAACACGATTTAAACTGTAGTTCACTTTGCAAAGTTTAATCCTTGCACAAGATCCATGTGGTTCATGGATACAAATGTCTTTCCTAACCATGTATAGAAATTAAGCACTGCAAGCTTTGCATTCTGTTTCTGCACACGATGCTCCTTCTCATTTCCCCCGCTTTGCAAACTACTCCTCTTTGAAGACTTGCTGGGTTTGTTTGCGTTCTTTCACGAGTCGGAATGGGCATTCCCTGTTTTTCCACCTGAGCTTTAGAATGCATTTTCAATCGTGCAGATTGAAATCGTGCATTTTCTGGGGACACTCACTCACCCACCCGCGGGGGCAAAGGCAGACCCTAGTCTTCGCTTGGGACCAAAGTCCAGAGGAGGTTGTTCCCAGGACCACACCTGGGGAGTGTTGGATGAATAGCACCAGGCTGGAGTTCACGAGAAAGGCGGGGCTGGATGAATCCCCAGTTGGAATTCAGATGGCCAGGAGAAATATCAACAACCTCAGAGATGCGGATGATGCCACTCTCATGGCAGAAAGTGAAGAGGAACTAAAGAGCCTCTTGATGTGGGTGAAGGAAGAGAGCGCAAAAGCTGGCTTGAAACGCAACATTAAGAAAACTAAGATCATGGCATCTGGTCCTCTCACTTTCTGGCAAATAGATGGGGAAGAAATGGAAGTAGTGACAGATTTTATTTTCCTGGGCTCCAAGATCACCGCAGACGGGGACTGCAGCCAAGAAATTAAAGGACGCTTGCTCCTGGAGAGGAAAGCTATGGCAAATCTAGACAGCATACTAAAAAGCAGAGACATCACCCTGCCAACAAAAGTGCGTATAGTCAAGGCTATGGTTTTCCCAGTTGCAATGTATGGCTGTGAAAGCTGGACCATAAGGAAGGCTGAGTGCTGAAGAATTAAGGCCTTTGAATTGTGGTGTTGGAGGAGACTCCTGCGAGTCCCTTGGACCGCAAGGCGATCAAACCGGTCAGTCCTAGAGGAGATCGAGCCCAGCTGCTCTTTAGAAGGCCAGATCCTGAAAATGAAACTCAAGTACTTTGGCCTCCTAATGAGAAGGAAGGACTCCCTGGAGAAGAGCCTAATGCTGGGAACAATAGATGGCAAAAGAAGAAGGGGGCGGGAGAGGATGAGGTGGCTGGATGGGGTCACTGGGGCAGTGGGTGTGAGCTTAAGGGGACTCCAGGGGATGGTGGAGGACAGGAAGGCCTGGAGAAATGTTGTCCATGGGTCGGATGCGACTTTGCAACTAACAACAACAGAGTTCTATCGTTATGAAGCCCTTGGCTGCCAACTAACTCACAGTGGACTCCCGAACGCCACTTGCTTCTGCGCAGGAGGGCTCCTAGTCAAGGTTCTTCCTGGAAAGATGCATGGCTGAGACAGTCCTCCCTACCACCAGACTTTGGGCTGGTATTTTATCATTATGTCTGGGTTTGGTTTTCAGGAGGGAGACAGGAGGAGGCGAGGATGCCAGCAGGAACTAGGTAATGGGGAGACTGCGTGGATGGTCTGTCCTAGTGATTCTGGGGGAAAGATCAGCTGCGAGGAATCTGTAGCATCGGGGGAAGGTGGAGGGAACCATGGGGTGAGAGGAGAAGAGACAGGTAAGAGCAGATGCAGCAGGAGGTGGGTCAGGGGAGGGGGGGGGAGAAGAGGGCCCCCAGCCTCCCCTTGGGGTTAGAGGAAAGGGGATGCTTGTGGGACCTGATCCTGGCTCCCCAGGGGCAAAGCACCGTAAGGGTTCCCCTGGGTGCTGGATCAGAGGGTCTGTCTCAGCAAGCCTGCACACCACTGAGCCAAAATCACCAAGAGACCCCCTCAGTCCTAGGAAGGGGAAGGGACAACACAGGTGCAAGCAGATGTGGGCAGATTCTGGGCAGATGTGAGGGAAGGGGGTGGGTGTTTCCTTCTTGGCAAAGCGGGCAACAGGCGTGGCTTGCTCTCTCTGGGCGCATTTTGTGGGTGCATCTGTGGGCGAAACTGCAACATTCACAGCCTTCTGACTTGGGCATTTTCAGATCTGGCAACAGATGATGAAAGGGAGGAGGCGTGTACTTTTGGACCTCCTGCTCCTACCCCATCCCCAAGACCTGCCCCATTACCTGGCAAGGCTGCACAGCAGCGCTTTCCACGCCGGCACCAAGAGGAGCGGTCCGGATCGTGGGTCCCACTTCAGCTGCCTGTGAGGGCAAGAAAGGAGGCAAGCGGGGCACCTTGCAGACCCCGAAGGCTGTGGCCACCAGGTCCTCCTCCTGGAAGGAGTCCAGAGCGACACACACTGACACCCCCCTGCCGGATCTTCACAACCGCTCAGTGAGGTGGGCTGGTCCGGGGAGGGAGGAAGCCAGGAAGCTGCCCCACTTGGAGTCAGGGCCTGGCCACACCAGGCAGCATTTCATACCGGTCCACCTCGCAGGGTTGTTCTGAAGATGGGTGAACTGACTCCCGAGGGTGGGCATGGCCAGGCTGGCCCTAAGAGAAGGACACGCAAGACCCCCGGACTCCGGGCCTGCGCAAGAAGCGGGAGCCACCCGCGCACCTTCTGTGTGCTCACCGTCAAAGCAGAGGATCCAGGCGAATTCCCAGGGGGATTTCGGGAGAAAATCTTTGCCTGGAGCGGCGGCTGGCCTCCGCCTTGAGCCCCCCGCTCGGGAGGCCAAGCAGCGCCCCCCGCTGCTCCCCGCCAGCCCCGGCCCCGCTGCCCCATCCCGCCCCGCAGCGGGGGAAGCGACGTGGCTCCTCCCAGGCGCGGACATTTCCGCCCGCCCGGCCGCCCCCAGCTCCGCGGCGCAAAACGGCGCAGCGCTCCCGCCCCGAGACCCGCGGGGGGGGGGGGGCGCAGAGCGATCCTGCGGCTGAAGCGCTCCGGCGGGGGAGGCAGGCCCCAGGCAGGCTCGCCGGACGCGCGGTGGGGAGGGGCGGCCTTCCCATTGCGGGGGGTGCGGGGAGCCCCTCAGTCTGGATCCCGGGGCTGGCTCCTCTCCGCGAGGGGCGCCCCGGAGGGGGGTCGTGCAATGGCCATCCTGAGGAGCCGTGCAAATGGGAGGCCGAGGAGCAGGATCTGGCCACACGGGCGTCCGCCCCCCGCCAGTGCCAGGGACGCTTGCGCGGCCCTCCCCAACTCGCCCACCGAGTGCCGGCCTCCTCCCGGCCCCGGCCCCCTGGCCGTCTCCTCCCGCTCTCACCTCCCGGGGTCGCCTTTCCGCTGCACCGGGGCCGCCCTCGCTCCGGGACACGCCGCCCCCCGACCAGCGCGGCGCTCCTCGCTGAACCTCCGGGGCGGAGCGGCGGAACCGGCCCCTCTGCAGCCCGCCCACCTCGGGACGGCCTTCCTGGGAGGGAGCAAAAGCAGGATCGCGGGAGCGCAGCCAGATCTCGCCGCAAAGCCAGCCCAAACCAGGGCCGCCGTCGCCGCTGCGCGCCGTGGGGCCAAACGCGGATCCGCGGAAGTTTTGTGCCCCCCCCCGTGACCATGCATGGAGCCTCGGGGGGGGGCGCTGCGGCTCCCTGCGCCGCCACCGAGCAAGCGCCGAGGACCCCTCCCCCCCCCGGCGAGGTGAAGCTTCAGAGGAAGAGATTTTCCCGAACAGGCTTTATCTCACGTATTCAAACCCTTGGCTTTATTAGCTGGAAAGGAGCATATTGGAGAAGGGGAAGCCGCCTTTGTTCTGGGAAGCCTCTTGCTGACCGGCCCCTGTCCAATAATAAAAATGTTTTATTTTTATCCGATTTCAATATATTGTTCTCAGCCTCTGATGCGTTTAGCAGTGGACTCTTCCCCTCTGTGGAACCTGTCTGGGTCTGCAGGAATGGAAGGAAACAAGGAGCAGCAAAGAGAACACAACAAACATAGAAACAGAGCAAGTCAGAAGGGGTCTGCAGGGCTATCTAGTCTGACCCCTGATCCCCGGCTCCAGCCGGCTCCGCTCACAACATGCCCACCATGTGCATGTCCAGCCTATCTTTGAACAAGAGCAAACCCTTTTCCTCTGCCTGCGCCATTTGCCCAAATACTTCCTCTCTCTCTCGATCCTAGGCCAAGGATCTGCTCTCTTTCTCTGCGGCCCACACAGGGACACCTGTGCCCACAGATTCCCCATGCAGATGCACACCTTTCTCCCTACTCACTGCAAGCTCATGAAAAAGCACACTTTTTCCTGGATCCCTCCAGCATGTCCCACCCCTGAATCCTTTCTTTCCCTCCCTGCCTTGCACATAAACAGTCTCCACATGATTGCAGGCCAAAAAGGTCATATTATTAGCATTAAATTTATTTTTAGCCCAGTATTCCCAGTGACTGAGACTCTGGCTGGCTGAAATGTTGAAATTCACATTAAAAAATTGGATTTTCCTTTTGAATTAAACAGTTACTTTTGAATTAAAACCTTTGAAAGTATGCAAAGGTTAAAAATATAATTGCATCGGTTAAATGTGAAAATCAAGCGGCCACCAGGAATTTGCCAGCCTCAGAATGCTCTTGCCAGCAGCAGAGGAAGATCCAGGGAAGGCTCCGCTGAGACCACCAAACTCGGAGAGGGAGCGCAGCTGCCACAGAGTGCTCCAGAGTTCTGATCCAGCCCTCTGGACCCGGCTCTGCCCCCTCCGGCCCCCTGCTATGCTTTGGTGGGTTCCAGCTTTCCCCAAGCCGCTTTTGTCCTGGGAAGAGCCAGTGGGGTGCAGTGGTGAAGAGCATGGGACTGGGGCTCAGGCGATCTGGGTTCGAGTCCCTGCTCAGCCATGGAGCCAACTGGGTGACTCTGGGCCAGTCACCGACTCTCAGCCCAACCTACCTCACAGGGTTGTTGTTGTGGGGATAAGATGGAGGAGGAGATGTAAGCTGCTCTGAGCCCTTTGTAGAGAAAAGGCAGGATATAAATCGGAAAATAAATAAATAAATAAATAAATTTGAAAGGCTAAATTGCTTCTCTGAAAATGTCCGGTGTCAGAGCAGGGGGCTGCCTGGGGGCACGAACTAGCCACCCCTCCCCAAGGCCCAGAGATATCAAAGTGCAGGTTCCACATAATGCAGCTCTGAGACCTTGAAGGTGCCCGGTGTCTGCTGCCACCTTTCCAAGGGCTGCATCTGCACAAGTGTCGGTGTCGAAATAGAATTGAATTTGCTTCCCATGTCAGAAAATCCCAGAATTTCAATTCGTGAGGAGGAAATAAAACTCGGGTTCGTGGGAAAGATCAAGAGTCCAGACCATCTGTGGCTTTATTGTTTGGCCCAGGATCCTGCGGTAGACTCAAGATAATGCATTAACGGGCAGGCAGAGGTAAACTCGCTGCAAAGTTTCAGTACAACTACAGGGTATTTTATACCATCCTGGTCACGTACACAGGTACAGGGCAATTGATGACAGAGTGCAGACATTACAATAAGATTCTGAGGTCATCACATACAGAACAGATGAAGGAACGTCAGTCAATCATACAGAGACAATGAGATCACAATATTTCTAATTGCAGTGTATTGACACTTTAGTAGAGTAACTTGAACCCATCTCCAGGTCTGCTTAGACATGTAAATTCAAGCTACTGAGAAACAATTCGTGAACTCAAACACTCATCTAGATTCAGACCCTAAGTAATAACACGAACTGCTTGCTTACAAATTACCCTTCATGCACCCATACTTGGTCTTCAAGGCCCAAATTATATTTTAATTTATATTGTTACTTATTTAAATTTATATTGTTACTTATTTTATATTGTTACTTCTTTATATTGTTATTTTTTGTATTTTAACTTTATGTTGTGAGCCGCCCCGAGGCTTTGGCGAATGGGGTGGCATAGAAATGTTTTAATAAATAAAATAATAAATAAATAAATCTGTACCATTCTGAATGGCCAGGGCACATGAAGCCCTCTGGTAATTGTGAAGGTATACAACGTATATTTGAACTAAATGGCCTGTCTACTGTAGCCCACAGCGAAAGGTGAGAGAAAGGAGCGGGGGGGGGGGGGGGAAGACCTTTTTAAAAGTGACTTAGCTTGGTTTGAGAAGGGAATACAGGATCGATTCCACAGTGCAAAAGCACACAGAAGCAATGTTTTTCTGACAGGATTTATCCAAATTTTCCCAACACCAGCGTGCTTCTTGGATACTGGAAAAGTTATAAATATATTTATACATTATAAATAAATATAAAATAAAGGTTATAAACATTATTTATTTATTAAAATCTTTTGTATGCCGTCCTATTATACAAGATAACTCAGGACGGCTTACAATTTTTTAAAGGACAATTAAAACAACAATTTCAATAATAAAACAGAACAAAACAATAAACCAAACAGCATGACTAATCTAAAAAACTATTAGAGCTTAAAATACTGTTTAAATAAAAAGGTTTTGGCCCGGTGCCGAAAAGAGTACAAACTTGGCACCAGGCGTACCTCTTTGGGGTACATTCCAGAGTCTGGGTACCACAGCAGAGAAGGCCCTACTCGGATTATAAATATAAATAATACAGTTGATATTTATGCTTTTTTCACTTAGTGTACTGCTTACTTTACTGATGCCTCCATGCACTTTTAAAAACCAAAAATTAAATGCCTCAGGTTATCAAAAATAAAGCCCAAACCCCACATCACTCTCAAAAGCAAAAAATCCCAGCCATTAAAGGATTTACAATCAGAATCAGCACATTCACTTGGCTGCCCAAACATTCAGGCAAGGTGGAGGGAAGAGCGTGGCCTTGGAAAGGTACCTCAGCCCTGCCGAAGGCCGAAGTTGGTGCCCCAAACAGCAAGGGCAGCCCACTGATCTAGGACATTTTCTGACCATAGCAGAGGAGGAGAAGCAGTTGTGAAGATGGGGGTCGTGATGGCAGGAGGTGGTGGTCTTCGATCCCCACAGTCGATCGATCCCCTTCAATCCCCACAGGCAGGGCCAGGATGTCCCTTGTGCTGAACACCAACCCTGCAAGGTAGGCCACCGCCAGGGGTCATGTTGACTTGCAGGACTCCCTTGAGCCATCAGGGGAAGGGTTCACCTCACTGCTCCCCGTGTCCAAGCCTGGAAGTCTAAAAGCGGCGGCATCCCCAGGATACCACGGCTGCATTTCACAAATCTGCTGCAAGAGGTGGCACAATTATTTCAGAAGAGGGGAACATACGAGAGGACGGAGCAACCTTTGGGAACAACCCTTCAGAACAAATTAGAGTACCCATTAGTTTTAGAGTAAACAAATTAGAGAAGCTGCCCCTGCCATTCCTAAGGACGGCTGCCCTAAGGATGGAGCCCAACCCGCGTTCCAGACTTAAAGGTGAAAAGCAAGACGGAGGGCAGCTGAAACCCCCTTTAAGATTCAGATTTGTAATTTTTAATTTTAAAGACAGTAAAATTTAGAAAGAGAGGGAGAAAAGGAAGAAAATAAAACACATAAAAGCTACAAAGCAGCATCAGGGTTTCTTAAACTTACTTATTTATAATATTTATTTGCAGCATCAGGGTTTCTTAAACTTATTTATTTATTTAGAATATATGCCGTCCTGTCGCAAAGGCCTCAGGACGGCTTACATAAATGTTACATAGCTGTACACAGAAGGAACTGCTTTGCTCCTATGGATGAAAATAAACTGACTATACCAACAATAATGGGAAACTAATAAAATGCCAACACAGCAGGAATTACAAAATTAGTTTTCAGGGACCAAAACCTAAAACTCATGTTTCAATTTCAATGCTAATGAAAGAAAAATAACAATGGTTTGGCTCCTACCTGGCTGGCTGCTTCCAGACGGTTTTGGGGGAATATGGCTCTGAGGCGTGGTTCTTACACCATGGGGTACTGCAGGGTCCCATAATTTCCCCCATGCTTTTCAACCTCCATGAAACCACTGGAATGGTCCTCCAGAGGTTTGGGGTGAAGCTCCATCAGTACTCTGATGACCCCCAGCTCTCCCTCTCTTTTTCATTTAATCCAGGGGAGGCAGTGATGCTGCTGAACCAGGTTCTGGATGGTGCGACGGACTGGATGAGGGCAAATCAATTGGAACGGAATCCAACCAAATTCCAAAACAAGATGAAAGGTTGCTGGGTCCTCAGTCCAGATGGAGGATTTTGCCCTGTCCTTGTGAGGTTGCAATTCCCCTGTGGGGTTCCAGAGTTGTACAGCTGTGCCTGGAACATCAGGTGAGCTGGATGGCTAGGACCACCTTTCACCCGCTCCACTTAATCCATCAAATGTGTCCCTACCTGGATAGACAGATCCTAGAGACAATGGATTATGCTCTGGTAACCTCCTGCTTAGACTATTC